ATAAGATTTATCCCTTCTTGTTGGAGTGCTGCCTCTCCTATGGCGTACTCGATGGGAAAATTCCATACAGGGTTTTTCTCACCTTCCATGTCAGCTGGGGTTTTCTTGGTGGTTTTGGATTGAAACCTTTGCATAAGCTTCCATTTGAAGAAAATTCCTAACATCTGGAAGATCATCTGCAGAAAGAAGAGTAATCTCGAATTCCTTACACTCCATTCTACTAGCTAGGCAACTCAAACAAATTTAAGGCTTTAGACAAACTTTGATCATGAAGTAGCAATATGAAGTAACAATTTGCTGTGGATGAAGAAGAGCCTTAATTTTTATATATGGCTGCAAATGCACGAAAGGGGATTTTTTTTTTTTTTTTTTTTAAATTTTGTGGGAAAGGAACAAGAAGAAGAGTTTGTCAATTTGCCGTTACGTATCAGGACTTAGTCCAAGTCTTCATTTATTATTTTTTAGAATCAACTAATTTGCTCAGCTTCACCATGACTTAGATCTTGAGCAGTATTATGAAATTCGGTCCACTGTTCTTTGGTATATTTGTTTTATTTCAAATGGACATTCTATTATTTGAAATGCCAATAATCGCTCATTAAAATATAAGCACCCCTTTGATTTTATAGAAAATCAGATTTTTATTATTCGAGAGAAGTGGATCGAATCAAACACGTCTATTCCTAATTTCAAGTCAAAGGTTGAGTAAATTACAAGGAAGGATTCCAGAATCAACAATTAGATTCAAAACAAAGGTGGGTACAACTGTCCATCCTCGTTCTTGGCATAAACTTTAATTTGAGAAAAAGTCGTAAGTACATCTAGAATGTCATTGGCAGAAATAAATCTATATATTCTCGAATTTCTTGCACTCCATGCTAGTTAGTTTATAAATGGCTTCAAGAGAACCAACAATGATGTTTCTTTCTTTTTCTAGGTAGGATCCAAGAAAACTGAGTTGTCGGTAACATTAACAAACAAAGCTTTGGTTTCAATAAGACCTAACGGATCAAATAAATTGCATCATTGCATGTGACTGAAAGAAGCCAAAAATGTAAAAACTACAAAATTGCTCAACCTGAAACTTAATTGAAAGGTTGGTACAATGATGCCATATTAACCTGCTGACTGAAGTGTTGATCACTTGACTGATTCATTGATTTTTAATTGGTGCAAAGTTGTGTTTGAATTTGTAAAGCCGTGTTTCTCCCTTATTTTAAATGGATGCTCCAAATGTCGTCAAGTGTCAGTCCCACAACCGTTGGATGGAGACATTTGGGTGACTCATTTAAGTAGCCTCCTAGGGTTGGAACTGTGCATTCTCTCTGATTTCTCTTCTTCTGCACCGTTCGAACTCTTGACTCTCACTCTCTGAAAAATCCAAACTCTCTTTTGATTTGTGGTTTCTCTAAAATGTTGTAATCTTAAGCGATTTCTATTTTGAGTAGAGTGTGAAGTTTTTGTGTGAACAAGTGTTTTTGAGTGAACGCTGATTTACTATGACCTCTAGTGGTTACTGTCTAAGTGTCTAGATATGTTCATTCTTACATTGGTTGTATTCCATTCTGAACGGTGGTTGTTTTAGTGACTGATGCACAGGTGTAATTTGGGTTATTGCCATAGGACAAAAATTTATCAAGTTTCTTTTTTAGTACTTTGTTTAGTTCTTATTTGTGCACATTTTTGTCGATCTTGAGCTAATATTGTTGAACCTCCTCTTAAGCAAAATAATTGGATTTCATGACCTATATATGACAAAAAGAATAATTATGAAGTTTTCGTCACTCGCAATTGGTCAGAAATTTCTAATGTATTAATAATCTAAGTAGACAAAATATATGTAAATGTCAACGTCTTCCCTGAATACTTATCTACTAATTGGTATGAAACGAAAAATTCAAGGGGACCATTAGACACAAATTCCGTTAGTTTTTCCGTTAAATCGACAAATTCCGTCCGTTAAACCAACAAATTTCGTTAGATAGACACTTTATATATATATATATATATATCCCCTGTTTGGCTTATATAAAAATCAGATTTTTGATAGATTTTGATAAAAAGTTGATAGAATGTGTGGTTAAAACTAATTGTTGATTTTGACTTAGATTTTTAATCAACTTTTTTAACCGAATCGACGGCATGAAGGGTAGTATTTCGAAAATTACGTCAGTCTATTTAGTGCAATTAAAAAGAACTTGAAACTGATCTAAGTACAACGTAAAACTTGAATGCTGAAAAACTGTATGAAACCTCATGAACTGGCTAGTTCAATTGAAAACCAGTTGACCTACCTACGATTTGACAAGGTTTCCCTTTTTCTCTTTCTTTCTTTTTTCAGATAAAAAGAATAAATTCTGTCGAGGAGAAGTTCAACACTATGTTGTCATAAATTCTTCGACATCATATACCTTAGTTTGGTAATTAATCTGTTTTTTTTTTTTTTTCACTAACAGTGGTTGTTGATATATATTTGGTAATTAATACAACTGACCTTGCTTAGACGAAACTTAACTCGATATTTTTTATGCTGCTAAACCATATTAAACTGTATTATGTATAATCGTTACCAAATATGCGATAGA